CTGTAACCAAACCCCTTTAGTTTCAGTTAGGGTTTCTTGCAAGTAAATTTAGAAACATGGCAGTGGTAAACCTGTTTTCATTGCCTCATGCTCCCCTTGAAATGTCAGGCATGGGGAGTGCTACATGATAGTCACTTAGAAAACCAGCTGGCTGCTGTGGCTCAGAGCACGTTTGCCCAGCTCTGGCTAGTATGTCAACTGCATCCATTCCTGGGTCAGTCAGATCCAGTTAGCGTTCCATGCCTCAGGTACATCTAGACTGGACTACTGCAATGCACTCTTCTTAGAGCTACCCTTGAAGTGTTCAGAATGTGCAGCTAATGCAGAATGCTGTGGCTAGACTGCTGGTCAGGGCCAGCTATCAGGAGCATAAATCCTCACTACTACTGCAATTGCACTGGCTACCAATCTGCTCCCGAGCTCAATTGAAGGTGTTGGTTTTATCCTTTAGAGCCCTACATGGCTTGGTTGGGAACCAAGGTATCTGACCGACTGTCTTCTCCCATATGTTCTTGCCTGGAAATTAAGTTCATGGGGAAATGTCCTCCTAACTGTTCCACCAATTAAAAACACTCGTTTGGTGGGTACACAAGAGCAGGCCTTTTCCATGATAGCCCCACAGTTATGGAACAACCTCCCCAGGGAGGTGCATGTGCCCCCCTCATTGTCAATCTTCAGGAAGAAACTGAAGTTTTATTTAGGACTGCATTTTGATCAGTTGATTTAGCTTTTATGACTGGCAGTCCTAATTGGAGTTTTCTTTTAAACTGGTGACTTTTATGAATTTTATAATAGCCGTTTTCATTTATTAGTATAATACTGAAGCTTCTGAAAGCCAGCTACTAGATGTATCACATAAATAATGAAAAGGGACAAACTAAAGCCAAAAAGAATGTTGGCAAGAAACTTGTAGTAGTGCAGACTCCAACCATCACTTGTTCACAAAACCTGTCATGAGTTCAGGCTGTAAGAGATCCTGTCCTGGCTGTAAGAGATCCTATCTAAAAAAATAATAATAACCAATGTATTTCTAGTAACTTTAAAAAAAAAACACAACAACAATAGTGAAATAAATTTAGTGTACCTTCAGTTTTAATCCATATGTTCTATGGCTATAGGACAAATTAGTATTCATTTCATATCTAAATAATGATAGACTTTTTATTTAAATGAATTATTTGAATTGGGCCTCCCCCCTTAGTGATTTAAATCTCCATGATTTAAAACTAATCCACCCTGCAATGTGTTAACATTTTTTAAAAAACAAAGCACTGCATGATAATGGTCACAATGAAACTTTATTGAATTTCCACTAGATTGAGATGCATGATGCAATAAGAACAAGTTAAAAGGTTGTAGAAACATTACAGCAATAAAACTGAGCATTTCAAATGGCAGCACACTGATTACAAACCAACCAAACACACATACACAGTTGACAAATGAGAAGAAATCTTGTGTGGCTGAACGTTTGTTTTCAGACTGCTTCTTAAATGCACCCCCACATATGAACAAGCTAACAAAAACTCCTCTGACCTAGAAGCATCACTTAGTGTTCTTTAGATTATTTAACATAAAATTAAAGATTATATAGTGAAGCAATTAACATTATCAGTTTGAATTCTAGCTCCCCCTTTCTTTCTGTTAACACATGCTGAAACCTTCTCCCAATTTTTTTTGCCAACACCAATACTACCTCCAGTTTATCTCCTAGCCTAGAGCTACACTTTCTGTCAAACCTTTCAGTCTCTATGAAAGATCATCTTAATGGAGTTAACTGCATGTATATACACATACGACTACTAGATGTACCTTCCTGAAGGTTTTCACCTAGATTGAAAACCTAGTTCTCAGTGGGCACTATCCAGCTGAAGAGAGAGTTGAACACATGGCTTGACTGTCTTCCACTGAAACCAATGGGACAAATCCATTACTATATCCTGCAGCATGCCTTGCCAGGAGATAAAACAACATTTCTTCATGACTCAGAGCCTGGTTTTCCATTAAATAATCAAACTATCCCGTAAGTGTCTCTCTGGATTGAAATCAACCTCTAGCTGGTGATCACCATTAAACCAGGCTGAAGACAAAGAACCACAAAGAGAAAAGGCATCAATCTAAAAGAAGGAAGATTCCCAAAGAATCCCAACAATCATTTCAAAGTCATTAAGAGATCCATTAATGGGTTTCAGAATACTTCAGTACAAAAACAAAAAACAGAGCCCCAAAGCATTCGAAACACGAACTGAAGTACTGTAGTATATTCCAGGCTACACAAAACTTGGCTACAATTGACAGGATCCGCTGTGCCTTGTATCCAATAAGGGAATTATTTCTAATCACCAGAAAAGTGTGCCTAGTTTCTGTTACAAGTTGTCTAGAATACAAGACAGAGCTTGAAGAAGGGAGGAGGGAGTAGGCCGCTAAGAGAGACCAAAATCTTTCCCCATGACAGGAAAAATTCTTCAACTACAGCAACTAAGCGAGGACTACTGTGGAGAAACGACCTCACAGCTCCCGAATACTGAGGAGTAATGTGCTGTGTTGGAGAAGAATTTATTTCACACAGAGAAGATTTAACCCCCCATCAGTCCTCTTGTCTCCATATTATTGACCAAAGGTTGATTTTTGCCCTTACAGCCACACTACAGGTCAGTACTTCTGATTCCCATTTCTATCTCATATTCTGCTCAGTTCTGACTTGGGCTCTCATCTTTTGTAGCTCATGAGCCCTGCTTTCCTCCCAGTGACATCTGGATAAACTGCATAGTACAGTTCCTAACCTCTCTGTGACTTCTGTCTTGGGTTTCAGGAATATTTTCAAGAAACTATTTGGTGCAAAAGCACAGTTGACTCAAGGCATACTCCAGATGTCACCATTAACTTCCAAAGCATAATTCTTCCCTAATAGTACCCTAAAGCTGGACCACTTATTTGATCAATGGGAAGAACCCTATAACTTGATTCTCTTTTTAAACACTTTTTTTAAGAGACCAGTTTGCTATACTGCTTTAATGGATCTTAAGCTTTCTCTAGAAGTCTCAAGGCATGCAACATGTACATGCTATCAGCATGCTCCAATTTATTTTACTTAAGCCATTAACATGTGTGCTTTGATGTTCTCAAAATGCAGAGCTTCATAAATCAACACATTTGGGACAAGCATCTTCTCAATTTCTTACACGGTTCAGGAAAGAAGTCTGCCTATGTCCACCTAGCTTGTTTCTCCTTTACAAAAAATCAGCTGCAAAGTGATCCTCTGTATTCTGAGGATGCACAGCTTTCAGACCCAGGCTGCATCATGGTCAGAGACAAAACACGATGCCCCGAAATGTCTTGGGATCCTTCCCAGGCTGCTTCCTATTTAAGCATAAAATGGCAGATGGGAACGACCGCTCGAAAACATTCTTCAACCTGGCTTATGTAAAGTGCTTTGAAGTTCTTGGAAGTCACACATGAGGTCTTTAAACATCTGGTTCCATGGCCAAATGCTACCAAATATGTCACTTGTGACACACAAGAGAGACTGAATCAGCTCTGTCAGTGGACAGCAGAAGATCCACACTATAAAGGTGTGTCCAATACACTTTTTTTTTCCATCCACAGCTTCTTGCCAGTACCCCTCCAAAATTACAGAGCATTATTGGAGATGTAAAGCTCCTCAAAACAACAAGAAGAGAAAATCAACTTCCTCTTCTCAAGTAATCAACCACAGATGTGGTCCATTTTACAAAGATCTGAGGGAGCTCTGTGTAATAACATCTCCCTTTTAGTGGAAGGCCTGGTCTGAAAACCATGAAAATGCAGCAAAAATCCTCTTTGTAACTTGTGATTTTTGCATGCTACATGTTGTTTAAGGCCTTCCACAGCCTAGCTCTTTAGATCATGTAACTCTAAAGAACAGAACTGAGCTAAGAGAGGGTTTATGTGACACAAAGGAACTTCTCCACATCTCCAGAGGCACCAAGGTGAAGATGCTCTCACAGCATTTTCTAACTTCCTTTGCAAAAGTACTGCAGGTTACGAGGTGCCCTGGAACTCAGAAGAGCTTTTTTTTTTTTAAGAGTGCTTTGCCTCAACCCAGCAACACTTCCAAAATTCTCTGTCTAGCCCTTCTTCAAGACTAACGATATCTGATACAAGAACAGAAAAAATTCTCTGTCTAGCCCTTCTTCAAGACTAACAATATCCCACACCTGCACCCTATGCCAAGAACAGAAAAGCCTGGCCATCTCCATGCCCCAGCTCTGTTCTCATTCATTAAAACTAAAGCCCTTTATAGGTCACTGAAAAAACTCGAAACAGATTCAAAATAAAATTTGGAGGGATTTGTCTGTGCATGTCCGTCTGCTCCCCTCTTTTGCCTGCCTGACCAACAAAGGTGATGCAAAGAGTTGTGGGATGCACAGCCAGCAATGGCATGCACAGAAAGCATCTCACCTTTTGCTTCCTGATGGTGTCCTAAGGCAGATAATCAGAAGCAAGAAAACTTATGCTCAGACAGGCCCGCCTTTGCTTTCCTCCAGGGTCTAACTTGCTATACGCACAACATCCACAGTCCACCAAGAACTCCATGGGCAAGTATCACTGAAAGGGACAGGTGGTGTTCCACAAGGACATTTCAGTAAGGCTTGCATCATTGAGGTTCTTGACAGATTATGCTCTTAGTTTTCAGTAGCTCTGGATTTTCCAGACAGCAAATGCAGAGGGAGCCTCAAACCAGATAGTTTTGCTTTGAATGCAACAAAGAAGCGATACACAAGCCTAGATTCTAATAGAAAAGGGAGATGGGTTCAGCATGCTAATGAGCAGAGCAAGCACATGCTGATATGTTCAGCCACTCATTTCAACTGGCAGACTGAGATGGTGGTTCCGCTGGAGAACACCCAAAATGCGGGATAGAGGGCTTCAGTAAACTGTGCTCGGAATTTGTAGAGGACGCTGAGTTTCTCAGC